TGCTGCAGTCCCAGCACTCAAGATGCCAAGGCAGGAGAATCTGGATGTGAAGCCAGCCTGGACTATGAAACCTGTAATCCTAGCACTTGGTAGGCAAAGGCATGAGGATTGCCAACAGAGGTGTGAAGATCCCCCACAAGTCTGGGGTTGGCCTGAGCTGCATAGTGAGTTCCAGGCTAGCCAAGACTATATAACAAGATCTTAAACAGGCTAAGAAGATGGTACATCACTTCCTGTGTGAGCACGGGGACCAGAGTTTAGAGCCTCAGAACTCACATAAATGCCGGGCAGGTGTAATTGTCCACTTGCAATCCCCGTCCTCAGGAGACAGGCACAGGGATGTCTGGAGCAAGCTGGCTCTCTTTACTAGCTGGAATAGCTAAGTTCTGGGTCTGTCAAGAGACAAAGACTTAGTAAATAAAATGGAGAGCAAGTAAGGAGGATGCCAGTGTCAACCTCAGGCCTCCACATTGACACACACCTGCATACATTCACCTTGCATACACACTGCACACACACACGCACACACACGCCAGCGCCCATCCCCACCCCATAAATCCATATGTTTATAAGTAAATGAGCCCATACAGGGAGGTCCTGAAACTGGCGGCTTCTCTCTCATCTAGGTTACTTAAAATACAGAATATTATGTAAATAATAGGGATTCTGTATTCCTTAAGGGGATAATGTTAAGAAAACACTTGGATATGTTTGTAGACAGAGTCTTTTTATGGCTAGCCTGGAACACTATGTAGACCAGGCTGGCTTTCAGCTCACAGAGGTCCACGTGCCTCCGCTTCCTGAGTATAGAGATTAAGACTCTGGCTAACCTTAGCTGGAATATTTAGTTACTTTTGGAGATTCATTCTATTTTTAATTGCATGTATGTCTCTATGCAGGTGAGTGCAAGTTCCTATGAAGGTTTGAGGAGGGCATAAGATCCTCTGGAGCTGGAATTGCAGTTGTGAGCCGCTCAACTTGTGAGCTGGGAACCTTACTTGAGTCATCTCCAAAACTAGTACTCAAATTTAACCACTGGGCCATCTCTCCAGCCCCTCTCCACTTCTTGAATTGAGCCAGGAATGACAGGTGTGAGATCCTAGCACCATGCTCCACTTGTTTGGTTGGTTGGTTAGTTTTGGTTTTTCAAGACAGGGTTTCTTTTTCTTTCTTTTTTCCTTTTCTTTTCAAGGCAGGGTTTCTCTGTATTGCTTTGGAGCCTGTCCTGGCACTCACTCTGTAGACCAGGCTGGCCTCGAACTCACAGAGATCCGCCTGCCTCTGCCTCCCGAGTGCTGGGACTAAAGGCATGTGCCACCAATACCTGGCTTCTTCCTTCCTTCTATCCTTCCTTCCTTCCTTCTTTTTTCTTTCTTTCTTTCTTTATTTTTATTTATCTTTTTTTTTTTTTTTTTTTTCCTTTTCTTTTTTTTCCCCCTTCTTTTCTTAAAGGTTTATTTATTTATTATGTATACTGTGTTCTGCCTGCATGTATGCCTGCATGCCAGAAGAGGGCACCAGATCTCATTACAGATTTCAGCCACCATGTGGTTTCTGGTAAGAGCAAGCAGCCAGGCCGACCACGGCCACCCCCCCCCCCCCCCCCCCCCAAATTTTTTTTCCCGGGCGGGGGGGGGGGGGGGGGGGGGGGGGGGGGGGCCCCCCCCCCCCCCCCCCGCCTCAAGAGTGCTGGGATTATAGGCGTGTGCCACCACCACTCAGTGTTGCTCACTTCTTAAAACACTTCACTTTCTTGTTAGTATACAAATAAATGGGTTTTACTGTGGCATTTTCATATACATACATGCATACATACATACATATTCCAGCCTGACTTTAAACTCACTATGGAACACAAGGATGATCATGTTCCAAGAGATGGGATTATAGGTTTGTGATTCCATGTCCATTTATGAGATTCTGGGCATAAACCCAGGGTTTTGTGTGTGGTAAACCAGAACTCCAGCACTGTTCTACACCCCCAGCCCTCCACTGAGGTGTCTTTATTCATATGTATCAGTATGCTTTCTTCTTCTTTTTAAAAATATATAAGTATTTATTATGGATACAGTGTTCTGCCTACATGTATGCCTTTGGGCCGGAAGAGGGCATATGTGTATACATATATGTACACATACATATATATATATGCATGCACGTGTACATATATATACATATGTATATGTATATATTTATGCATGTGTGTATATATGTGAGTAATATATTCACTTCACACACATAAATACATGCAACACACACATCAATAATAAAAAATCTGCATTCTGTATATAAGGGAAAATGCATGCTATTTTATTTTCTGAATCTGACTTTTCCACTTAATGATCTTACTCCCTCCATAACCCTGCAGATGTCATAATTTCATTTTTCTTTACAGTTGAATAAAATCCCATTATGTATAAGAGCCATATTTCCCCTCCTTGTAAGATTTGTTATTTCATGTTTAAATTTTAGTGTGTATTTATGTACATGTATGGGCTCTCACCCTGGTCTCAGAAAGGAAAACTTGTAGAAGTCAGTTCTAACTTTCTGCCTTTTCCTTCTCGCCTGCCCTGTGGCTGGACATCTAGGCTGGTGCCGTGTGTTGTGCACAGCAATAGACACGGATGGACAGGAATCTCTGCTCTGTGCTGACTTAGAGCCCTTTGGCTCTAAGGAGTGGTATGGCTGGGTCATATACTAGTTGTAGTTCTACTTTTAGTCTTTTGAGAAACTTCCATACTGATTCCACTAGTGGCTGGACCAATATACCTTCCCACCAATAGTGTATAAAGATCCCTGTTTCCCCCACATCCTTGGCAGCATTTAAATTTGTTTTCTTGACAGCCATCCTGACTAGGGTGAGATGAACTCTCAAGTCATTTATTTGTAATTAGCATTTTCTGATATCTAAGGGTGTTGAATGTATTTTTCAAACATCCATTGTCCAAACTATTTGTTCCTTTAAGTGCTTTCTTTTTAAGAAAAAACATATGTATATACATATATTTTTCAAGTTTTTTTATTCTAAACAAGGTTTCTCTGTGTAGCCCTGGCTGTTCTGGAACTCACTCTGTAGACTAGGCTGGACTCAAACTCAGAGATCCACCACCTGCCTCTACCTCTCAAGTGCTGGCATTAGAGGCATGCACCATCACTGTCTGGCTAAAAATTATTTATATTTTTTGTGTGATTTGCCTGCAAGTATGTCTGTGCATCACAAATATGCCTGGTGCCCAGGGCGGCCAGAAGATGGTATTGAATCCCCTGGATCTATCTGGAGTAATCATGTGGGTTCTGGGGGGTTGAACAGGAGTTCTCTGGAAAAGCAAATGATGCTTTTAGCCACTGAGTCCATCTCTCCAGTCCTTCATTCAAGACTTTGTATTCAATAAATATTAGCCCATTAATTGATAACATGATTTGTCTTCGGCTGACCTGGAGAGATGTTAGTGATTCTAGGCATTAATCTCCTGTTAGGTGTATGGCTGGCAAAGATTTTCCTCTAAGTCTCTAAGCCATCTTCACGTTGCTGGTTTCCTTTTCTGAGTTTTTGTTTGCTTTTGAGATAGTGTCTTGCTCTGTTGCTCAGGCTGACCTTGAATTTGCTAGGTAGCCAAGGTTAGTCTCAAACTCACAACCCTCCTGCTTGGGCTTCACAAGTGTTGAGATTATATGTGTGTGTGATCCCCCTTGGGCTAGTAGGCTTTTCTGAACACCTCTTAGGAGGTAATTTTCAGGAGTTGGTTCTCTCCCATCATGTGGGCTCTGGGCATTGAACTCAGGTTATCAGGGTTGCCTTTAACTTCCTGAGCTAACTTGTCAGGGCCTTACGATTTTTCCTTTGTTTTAGTTTGGGTCCTTGCCCATGGAATGATGCCATCCACATTCAGACCATTTGTTCCCACCTCAGCTAAAGCTCTATGGAAAGGTCCTCACAGACATGCCCAGAGGTGTGTCTCCTCTGCAGACTGGCAGTGAAGGTTAACCATCATAACCAATAATAAATTACTTAGATTTCCTTTGCCTGTGAAATAGCTGAACCTGACTGATCTGACTCTAGCCTAAAGATGTCCAGAAATATGTGGCTTTGCAGGAACAGGAATTAAGTGTAACAGTCAAAAGTGTCTGTTGAAGAGCTGGGGCCTTGCTCAGCAATAGAGGGGTTACCTAGAATCCACCATTGAAGAGCTAGAGTATGGCTCAGTATCACTACACTTACTCGGCACACAAAGGCTCTAGGTTTGACTCAGACAGACTGACAGCAAACAAAACTGACAACTTAAGGAAACTAATTTTAGAAAGTTACAGTCTTCATCTTTTTCTTATTTTTTTTATGTCCGTGTTATATGAGTATGGGTACATGTGTTACAGTGTAGTGTACGGCACAGGACTTCAGGCATCAGTCCTTACCTTCCTCTTTGAAACAGGGTTTCTTGTTGGTTTATGCCAGGGTAGGTAGCCCATTAGCCATAGAGGATCCTCCTGTCTGACGCCCAACTCCCTAGAGAAGCCATTTGAGTGCTGAGTTCCCTATGTGAAATGGATCCTGAGTATCCAAACTCAAGTATATATAATTGTTTGACAAGTGCTTTTCCCATTTACCTCTCGACCTCTCCCAGTCTTCCTCCATCATAACTCTTGTGGTTACTAGGTGATGAACCTGGTGCCCAATCCTGTGCTAGGCAACTAGGTAACACTAGTCACAATTCCCCAGTCTAGTTATATCCACAACCTGCTTCCTATTCCCAAGCCTGGGAACCATAAGAGAGAGGAGCCTGGCCCATCCTAGCTGCAGTTAGCTCAATAGATGAGTCTACTCTCTAGTCTTCCAGAGCATGCTGTAACTGAGCTTCTGTCATACACTCAACAAATGTGATTCAAGTCACACTGCAACCCAGTGTGGCTTCTATTCCTGTGCCTAAGTGCTTGTAGTTTCCTACCGTCCCTACTCAAGTACCCACAGAATTATACAAGGAAGCAGAGGCTATGGGAAGCCCAGCACCAACACAACTTGATACTTTTATTGTACAGGACAAGGAAGGTTCACTTCTTGGGCTCTCCATCTACAGTCCTCTGGGCTGAGGTAACATGTTTTTTCTTACAAGGCTCTGAGAACAGGTCCATGCCAGAACAAGAGCCATATGAACCAGTAGAAGCCTCAGCCACACGAGCCTGGATGTGTGTGCGCCAAGAAGCTGGTGGATGAGTGTCAGCTTCAATTACTTAGGCGTGACCCTGAAGACCCGGATGTGGATGGCCGAGTTGTTTCGGATCCTGGTCAGTGGCTCTCGAGAGTCAGTCTCTGGTTCCAGCTCATCCACCAGCTCCACGGTGGAAGTATTGGCAGCCACCTGGAGGGACCCAAAGCTGCCTGCCTGCAGCTGCAGGGCGATGTTGATGGCGCGGTTAATGGCTAGACCCAAGCCATGAATGTAAATCTCAGTGCATGCACTCTGCCCCCTACTGCCTCCATCCAGCAGCTTTTGGCAGCGGGCTAGCTGGGCCTTAAAATCAGTCTTCATGTTGACATAAATGTCATTGGGCCTCCGGGGCAGGCGGTGAGGAAGTCGTTTCCGAAGGGTGTACTCCACAGGGTCCAGCTCAGCCTCGATGGCTCCACGGGGCTCTCTGTTTTCGGCCATGCTCTGAGTCCTGGCATGGAGAAGGAGAATGACAAGACAATCCTTTCTAGCCCAGCTTGCTAACGGTGCAACCAGAAGGGGGCGCCCTCGACGACCCTCTTCCTTCCCAGCCTCTCAATCCCCAACACTTCCGCTTTCTCCACTCCCAGTTTTAATTCATTCGTCACGTGGTTCCCATTCCCGGCGTTTCCACGCCTACCTTCTCGGTTCCACAGTGCCCTTCACTCGCGTGCGCCTCGCCGACCGGCCCACCTGGACGCCGCTGCCCACGACACTCACGAAAGGAAAGAAGAAGCGACCCGAAGAGGAACGCCGGAGAGTCGCGCCGGCCAGGGCTACGCACTGCGCACGCGCATCCCCGTTCCCAAGCCGGAACCGAAGAGCTCGTAGCCTTCCCGGCCTCCGTTCTCCTGGCCCCCCCCTTAACTCATGCGCGTGCGCAAGGGAACTTCAGTCTCGCGAGACTTCCTGACTCGCGGCGGTCTTTCTTGAGGACACCGAGGGCGGGGCTGGCTGTCGGGGGTGGGACTAATCGATAAGGGCGGGGCCAAGAGGGGCGTGGTGCGGATGCCCCAGCTTGTCCTCCCTCTCAGCTGGGCGGGACTCGAGGATCCCGGCGGGAAGCTGTTCCAGAGACATGCAGGATTAGGAAAGGGGCTTCGGGTCTGTGTGGGAGCTGGGATCGTGCGGGGGCCGGGAGGCAAGTCTGCCGTTCACATCTACCGCACGCACTTCTGAGCCGCAGAATGGACAGCTGGCCTCCCTCCCGAGGTCCTGGCCGCCCAGGTCGAAGGGATCGAGTCAAGGCCGGATGTCCACCTTGGGCTCCTCCCTCTGCGAGGGACCCACGCTAGGTGCCAAGCATTTGCAGCTTCCCGCCACACCTCTCAACGCAGCACTCCAGCTGCTACCCGCGATCTGCGAGGCATGACGCGCTGCCCCCTGGCGGAAGGGACAGGGACTGCAATACTTGGGTTCCTAGCCCCTTCATAATGGGGACCTGGCTCTTAGCCCAGATTGGTAAAGCCTTTGGACAGTTCCCTACAGAAATGAGTATTTGGGACCTTGTACTACACCCACAGACCACCTACCTAGGCAGAATCTGATTGAAGATTGGAAAGAGAACTTTGTACCATGCTATATATCCAAAGATGACCGTGAACTTTTGTTTGTTTGTTTTTTCTAGACAGGGTTTCTCTGTATTGCTTTGGAGCCTGTCCTGCACTGGCTCTGTAGACCAGGCTGGTCTGGAACTCACATAAGATCCACCAGCCTCTGCCTTCCAAGTGCTGGGATTAAAGGCATGCACCATCACTGCCTAGCGTCCATGAACTTCTGATCCCCCTGCCTCCACCTAGTGAGTGCTGGGATTAGCAGGCACCATCAACTGAGATACATCTCTAGGCTCTGAGATTTATGTTGAAATGGGCGACTTCACATTCTAGATATCAATTTTCTGCAAGTTCATCTATATAGTTAATGACATTTTTAGGTGAAACCTCAGACAGACTTGCAGATATAAATCAGAAATCTTTTTTTGGTGGGGAGGATAGGGTTTAGCTATGTGGCTCAGGCTAGCCTAGAACTCATGTTCCTCTTGCTTGGCCTCCCCAGTGCTAGCATTACAGGTATGCACCATCATGATAAATTTATCCTAAAACTTATGAAGAGGTGGACCATAACATGGGCAATGGGTCAAAATATGATGCTGTTAACTTTAAACTATTCTGAGGAAATATAAGGGAACTCTTCAAGGGGCTAGTCAAGTGCTGGAGAGACGGCTCAACAATTAAGAGCACTGGCTGCTCTTCCAGAGGACCCCAGCACCCACATGGCAGCTCACAACCGTACAACTGCAACTCCAGTTCCAAGGGACATGGAGTTGCATATAATACAAATAAGTAAATAAATAAATACATTCCAAGAGGCTAGTCAAAACAAGTCCAAAGATTGGTGGGGGTGGGAGATGAAGATAAATTGTCTTCCATTGGAATTTCAAGGCTGGAGGATCTTTAAGTAAAGCCACCTACTTAGAAGCCTAAGGACCAGAACTGAGTCCCTAGGGCCCATATAGTAGAGAGAGAAAAATAAATTCATTCCTATAAGTTGTCCTCTGACCTCTACACACATACACTCCCCAAACACACTTTAAATAAATGTAAAAATAAAACTTAAAAACTGTTAAGGCTGGGCACCTGTAATACAAGCACTTAGGAAGCTGAGACAGGAGGATTGTTGTAGGTTTGAGGCCAGCTTGAGCCAGAGAGCTCCAGACTCCAACAGAAGACCCTGTCTCATAAATTAAACTTTCATGAAATACTAAAATAGTATGAAAACAGGATCTTAACTGTGGTAGCACATACTTGGTCCTGGCACTTGTCTCTAAAAACAAAAACCAAGGGAGGGAGGGAGGAAGGAAAGGAAACAACTCAATTACAAAATAAGCAGACATCTTAGACAGTTTAGCAAGGGGGCAGAAGCATGCTAAATTCCTCACAAGATGTTCAGTGTGGTTGCCCACTAGGGAAATGCACATTAAAACTACAGTGAAGGGCTGGGGGCTGGGGCTCTATTGGTAGAATGCTTGTGTAATGTACAAGAAACCCTGGGTTCCATTCCTAGAAAGGCATAAACCAGAAGTGGGGCACCTGTAATCCTAGCTCTCAGGAGGCAGAGGTAGGAGGATCAGAAGTTCAAAGTCATTCTCATCTACACAGTAAGTTTGAGGCTCTGCTTTAAAAAAAAAAAAAAAGAAAAAGAAAAAGGAGAGAAAAAGGAAAATCTTCACAATATCAAGTTCTGAAAGAAATGCAGAAAAATAAAACAGGATCTTACTAGCTACATTTCTGGATATGTGAAATGGTTCATTCATTTATTGTGTGGCTTCTCCCTCCAAACTGAAACATTCTGTCTTAGAAAGAGATCCTTTAAGACTCGGGAAGTAGATGAAACATGCTAGGCCTAGAAAGTTCCTGAAACTAACAAAATTCATCAGGTGTGGATCTTGGTAGATCTAGTTCTCAGTCCTATCCAGGAAGAGAGAGAGAGAGAGATCTTGGCATGTCTTCAGTGGTGTATATATAATAGTCTAAAGTTGAAAAACCCATGTTCCCTCCACAAGTCCCACAGGGAGCCCCAGAGATGCAGCTTTCATGAGTCATCACCTATGTGATGTAGGCCTTCTAGTGACACAGCTGTCTTTGACTCATCCGTGCTCCTGCAAGTGACCCTAGGAAATTTATTGCTTCTCCACTTTGGACGTGGGTGGAATTGTTTGGTTGTGGGTGAATAGATACTTGTGTGTATGTTCCTGGGAAAAGTTATCAAGGTATCATTCTAGAAAATACTTCTAAAGCCAGGCAGTCGTGGCATAGGTCTTTAATCCCAGCACTCAGGAGACAGAGGCATGCAGATCTCAGTGAGTTTGAGGCTAGTCTGGTCTACACAGTGAGTTCCAAAACAGCCAGGACTACTCAGAGAAACCCTGTCTCAGAAAAAAAAAAAATTCCACGTGACCCAAGAAGAGCACCTCCAAGCATTAAAAGATTTTACAGGGAGAGTGGTATGGTGGTGAACACCTGTCAGGCTGGCCTGGCTGCACAGTAAGACCCTGTCTCAAAACCCAAACCAGACCAAGCCAACAACAAAAAGGCTGGGGATGTGTCTTGGTGCACCGAAACATGCTGGAGGGCTGGGCCCAGTCCCCAAGACTGCAAGACAACGATGAAACTTCAAACAAACAAACATAAGCCTATACAGGAATGTCCACAGTAGGTTTACATGGGATAGCCCACACTGTGGGAAAGGCCTGATGTCTTTCAGGTTATAAATGATTAAAAAACCAAACTGTGAAATAGCCATCCACAGAATATTACTCAGCAATGAGAGTTGGACCAAGGAAACATCTTGAGCTGTGAGAAAACTAGTTATTTACGGGGCTGGGAGCAAGGCTCAGTTGACACAGCACTGGCCAAGTTTGCGTAAGTCCCTAGTTTGATTCCCTGGGACCCAAATGTAAAATTTAAAGTGGAGTTTGGTGGTGTACGTGTAGCCCTGGTCATGGTGAGACAAGAAATGGAGACAGGAAGTTCCCTGTGCCTGAGGATCACACCCCCAGCGCTACATTTGACAACGGTTGTGCTTAGTGGACCAAAGAACTTGGTTGCTAGAAGAAAGTTAACTTGAAGGTCCAGTATATCCCACTGCTTACAATAAAGTTTTGGAGTATAATGGTGCACACTTGTAATGGCAGAGTTGGGAGGCTAAAGCCAGGGGCAGCCAGGGGCACATTACAAGACTGGGTCCCAAGAGACTAAACCAAACAAAACATCACCACCACACACACACACACACACACACACACACACACACACACACACACAAGCCAAACAAACAAAACAACCAACAAGAACCGGACAGTGGTGGCACATGCCTTTCTTTAATCCTAGCACACAGGAGGCAGAGACAGGAGGATCTCTGGGCTCTGAGTTCAAGGCCAGTCTGGTCTACAGAGTGAGTTCCGGGACAGCCAGGGCTACACAGAGAAACCCTGTCTTGAAAAACCAAAATCAAACCAAACCAAACAAACAAAAAATAAAAACAAAACTCACAAAACAATAAGCAGTTTGTAAATGAGCATTCCATGACTCAAGCTGTGTGTGTTTCTACGATCATTAAAATCCTGTTTTACAAGCTAGACTTATTGTGGTGCATGCCAGTATACCCAAAACACAGACAACTGAAGCAGAAGGGTCCCTGTGGATTTAAGGCCAGCCTGAGAAACATACAGAGACACCTTGTCTCAAGAAAACTAAAACCCAAACAACCAACCAGCTACCTAAACAAAGCCCAGGAACCAGGAACAGAGCTCAGTAGTAGAATACATGTTTAGTGAATCTGAAGCTCTGGATTTAGTACCCACCACTGCCAAAAAGAAAACACAGTGGAGCTGGAGAGGTGGCTCAGAGGTTAAGAACACTGGCTGCACTTCCAGAGGTCTCAAGTTCAATTCCCAGCACTACAGGGTGGCTCACAACCATCTATAACAAGATTTGGTGCCCTCTTCTGACATGTAGGTATACATACTGGCTGAATACATAATAATTTTTTTTTTTAAAAAAAAGTTTTGATGTGGTCATGTTTGATCTTTAAAAAAAACACTGAGTATACACATACATACATATAAACCTAAACCAACCAAATAAAAAACATACACACATATAAACATACATGTATATAGAGAGATATATGTGGCTAGTGGGAAGGTACTCGGTGTCCAGGCTGATGATCTGATCTTTAATCCAGGGATGCCAAATCCTGCAAGTTGTCATGGCAGGTTCACAACATGACAGACATATATGCACAAATGATTAAATATCTACCTGGGCTTTACAATGGGAATCAA